TCTCCGGGGAGACAAACACCCAAGCAGACTCCCTGAGCAGAGCCAAGGTGGACCAGTCGGAATGGCGTCTGGACCCGGCTCTCTTCGAGGAGATCTCCCGGAGGTTCGGACAACCGCACCTAGATCTATTTGCCAACCACAAGAACACACAACTCCCCAGGGTCTTCTCCAGATTCCCGTCCCCGGGATCGGAGGGAACGGATGCTCTCAGGTGCCGGTGGCCGGCGCAACTCCTGTACGCCTTCCCCCCGCTGCCACTAATACCGGCAACCATACGCAAGATGATCCTGGAGGGCGCAGAAATGGTCTGCATTGCCCCTCACTGGCCACGGCGCCCGTGGTTTGCCGACCTCGTGGACCTTTCGATATCACCTCCGTGGAGGATTCCCCCGGACAGGGTAAAACTCAGTCAGGGCAAGCTTGTACACCCAGATCCCCAGTGGCTACAACTAGTCGCTTGGCATTTGAGCGGCAAAGCTTAACTAAACAATCTTATTCTGCAGGGGTGATATCGATCATACAGGCATCACGAAGGGCGTCCACCAATAGGATTTACGACGCTACATGGAAGGGATTCTGTAGGTGGTGCGCTTCGCTTCACCTAGACCCGACCGCAGTATCTATCCCCAATATCCTAGACTACCTATTGGAGGGTCTTAATAGGGGCCTATCAGTCAATACCATCCGCAGACAGATATCGGCCCTCTCAACCGTACTCTCCTTTCAAAGACAGGGTCGTTCTTAGACCAGACCCGACCTTCATCCCGAAGGTAAATAGCACCTTTCACAGATCTCAGGAACTTACGCTTCCTGATTTCTGTCCAAGACCCAAACATAAGCTAGAACACAGATGGCACAAGCTAGACGTACGGAGAGCACTGTGTTTCTACGTGAAACGCACCTCGGCTTTCCGAACGACTGAAGCATTATTTGTGTCCTTTCAACCATCAACTATGGGAAAGAAGGTATCTTCTTCCACCATAGGCAGGTGGATCAGAGCCTGCATAGCGCAGGCCTACGTCTCACAGGATTTGCCAGCACCCAATCAGGTGACTGCCCACTCAACTCGGAGCGCAGCCACATCTGCGGCGTGGCTAACGCAAGCTCCGGTGGAGGAGATTTGCAGGGCCGCAACCTGGTCCTCACCTTCGGTTTTCATTCGACATTACCGTTTAGACTCCCTAGCAGCAGCAGACGCGGCTTTTGGCAGAAGAGTTCTTCAACAGGTCGTATCTGCTCAGAGTTCGGTAGCCTAGACATTCCCTCCCAGGGGGACATGAGGGCTTTGGTATGTCCCATCCATTTGGACTCTACAGGCATCCTGCTGGAGAAGGGGCGTTGTCTTACCTGAACGCCTTTTCTCAGCAGGATGATGTAGAGTCCAAGCCCACCCAGAGGATAGGTCTAGGCAGGGATATAATAAAGATATAATAAAGAGCTGCAAGGTTAATTCCAACAAAGTTTCTCGCCTAAGTCAAAACTGGGGTCACGCCCAAAGGAAGGGGTGTGGCCGAAGTTTTACCCAGTCTGCCAGGCAGGAAGGCCGTCATAGAACCCATCCATTTGGACTCTACATCATCCTGCTGAGAAAAGGCGTTCAGGTAAGACAACGCCCCTTCTATTCATAGGGGGGGGGAAGAAATATCAACAGAATTCATGCTTAAATGTTAACAGGTCTATGCCAAAATATTTTAATTATGCTTAATTGAAGCTCTTTTTTAAAGAGCTATAATCATACTTCCTATAGTATTTGATTTTCTAATTGAATTATGGTGCCTATATAAACATGAAGTAATATCAATATTACATTCATCATACTTTATATTCAGGTTTTCATCTGACATCCACAATTCCAAGTTTCCAGTGTTGTCCCCAAAACTGGGTCTTAGCATGGTGTTGAAACCAATTGATCACCAGACCCAAGAAGTGGAACAGATAGACTTTTATTTTAAAGTGGCCTTGACTTTGAAAGCTACCATGGCGGCAATTACAGTTTTACAGCAGTTTTGATTCACATACACCCCTTTGCCCTTCCAATTCACCCCTTTGCCCTCTCCCCAATAATACATGTATAATATATCATATTGATTGGTTACCTGGATTGCAGCCCCCTAAAGCTTTCTCGCTTGCTATGCAAAATGTCACGCCACCAATTGACCACCTCGGGTCACAGGTATCTTGCAAAGCTTTTAGTTTCCTGTGCCTGCTATGTGGTTTTGGGTTTTCTTGTAAGTGAGCTATTCCTGTACCCAACATCCTGGCTAAGTCGTTGGACCTATGAATCTGTCTCACTTCATTGTCCCTGCAGCCTCCCCCCTCCCGCAGCCCCCCTCACAGTGCTATCAAGTATGCCAACTGTTAGCAAGCTTGTGCTGCAAATCCCTTAGTGAGCAGAAGAAGAAAAAGTTGTTAAAGAAAAAGTTCTTTAAGAATAAATGTTTCTCTCAGAATTCATCTTCCTCACTCTCATGTCCATCACACCCACACCGGGATCCTATTTCCATATATGACCCTTCTTCTGATCCCCAGGGCCTTGTCTGCACGTATATTCTTTCATCTGACCCTTCACAAGTGATACAGAATTTGTGCTTTCAGTTTAGGCAAATAATCCAGATTAAACTACAAAAACCCACACTTTGGTTTAGAAAACTGCATATCGATTATCTGCCTTTTACAATATTTTTTCGTTTTATTTTATTATAGGGCTGTTTTTGTCAGTGGGCCAAGGGCACATAATTGGTATCTTTCCCACTTGAAAACTTCACCTCAATATGCACTTCTTTATACAAGAATCTAGTGTTGTGAGAGTTATATATTTCTGGTCAGTGATGTGAGGGACAAATTATTTTACCAACAAGTCTTTCAAACTTACCTCCTACTAGTGTTTGATTCTCTGCTTGTGCCATACTGTATCACATTGTGGATTTTTAAAAAATGTGAAATAAAAACAACTTATATCACAATTATTGCACAAGAAGTGCTTAGGGTTTGTGTTTGACTTCATGATTCTGTATTGGCACAGATTTTCATAAAATGTGTGTACTAGGAACAGTATTTTTTATTTAAATAGGTAAACAAACTAAATTTCACAATAATGAGAAAGATTTCAACGGTGTGTAATCTGCTGCTAGCTAACATGAATAAGCCTAGCCTTATTCTCCTTTATACAGTATGTACCTGTCTTTAAGTTGGATGATTTTTCAGAAAAGAAACTCATAAAAGACACAAGATCACCCTCCCCTAATAATGTTTCATGTTTAATATGCATTCAGAAATGCTACATATGTGCATACGCAGCATCTTCTGTCATACATTGGTATGAATATGCACACATTAAAAACAGCTGCATTTGGTACAAATACTAAACTGAATTCTAGTACATTGATGTATATAAATAAAAAAAGCTGTGCTGTGCATTAATTTTTATTTTTATTAATCAAATTTATATGGCTGCCCAACTCATGGAAAGTGTGTCTGTGCCCTCTGTTGCTCCATGTTTCTTAATTTCAAAAAAGTAATTTCATAGTTCCAAATGAATTAATTGGACTTATTTCCAAGTAAATATATGCTATAATCCTTTACATGCAATTATCTAAAGCAGCGGTTCTCAACCTGTGGGTCGCGACCCCATTTGGGGTCAAACGACCATTTTACGGGGGTCGGCAAACAACGCAATCCGCCATTTTTTTTCAGCTGGCGCCGCTGCGCATGCACGCCGCACATGGGGGCGGTGCCATGCATGGGGGTGGCGCCACGCATGCACGCCGCGCATGGGGTGGTGCCGGTATAAAAAGGTTAAGAACCACTGATCTAAAGAGAATGTTCATTGAAAATGATGGAAGCTGCTTACATACAGTGCAGTTTTTCTTTTTCTTTTTTGTTTCAAAATAGCTATAAGGCACTCCCTTATCCAACACTCTCTTGTTGCCTGGGTAGAATTATAAAGTACAGTAAATCAATAAACATCAGTAAAGGGTTGGCAGAAAACCGTAGCCAGTTCAAAGTTCTTTATAACTATGTACATAAGTGTTGACAATTTGATTTCAGTGAAATCTGTGGAGAAATATTTTTATCAGTGTAAAAACATACTGGGCGTATCCTTGAATGTTAAAGTATCTGGCATAATAGTATTTAAGAAATAAAAATATTAATGAAATCAATATCAATATCATTGAATTTAGACTGCTTATGGCTACATAGGGTTTCTAGGCTGATTCCTCTTTTAACTTACTACCATGCATGTCCTGTAGGAGAAGATGTGGCAGAGTTAAAAGAGAAATAAGCCTAGAATCTTTCTTAGACTGTCACAAGCAAAGTTCAACCCCCCCCCCTTGATTTCCATTGACCCTTATCTAACTTCAGGCAAGTGGTGTTAGTTGAGAAGATTCCTGTGCATAGGCTATGTAGCAATAAATCAATTTAATTGGACCTCCACGTGTGGACCTGATCTTTTATGCCTGACATGCCCTTTTGTGTCATTTCAAAACTCCTCCATGCATAACAAAACAAGGATTACTGTCTTCCTTTTAGGTCAAAAATGGCCTGTCACTGTTTGCCAACTGATATGCTAAGACCCTCCTCAGGGTTCTGTAGCCATTTTAAAAGTACAGAGGTGGTTATCTTTTAAAAATAATTTGTAAAAGCTACTTTTCATTATAAAAATATCTGTGGTAGGGAGGGGAATCTTGGTGGAGCAGGCAATTTTGCCTTTTGGTTCCAGTCCTGTCTCTCTTGCTCAGTCCTAGGATAAAACTTTATTTTTGTAACTTCCATGTCAGCATTTCAAGCACACAAAAAAAATTAACATCCAAAAATTTAACATCCAAACCCTTAAATTCATTTAGAAAGATCTTTAATGATCAGGATAGAAGCTTTAATTTTCTTTACCAGAAGATGGTTTCATTGTGATATTTTATAACAGGAGAATTAAAACAAATGAATTATCAGTCTTTCCATTATGTCAGTGCTTGCATCAGTCTGTTTTATTTTTGTATTTGTAGAACTGCAGTATCCACATTACAGATTGAGCCTGGTAGATCACCAGATGAATCTGCGAACTCTAAAAAAGGTCATTGTTTTACTGCTGATATAGATTGTAGATTGTCAACTTTACATAGTGTATGTTAAGTCAATATGATACATGTTTGACATACCTATACTTTAAACATCGTAATTTTTAGATCTTGAATATAATTCCTTTGAGATGTAGACTTGTAATCCCTTTGTTTCCTTTGTACACTTAGATCCAGCACCAGGTGTTATTATCTAAATATATATAGGGTGACTTTATTCAAAGAAAAAAAAAATCCTAATACATGTAGTCCAAACCTTGGAACTAATCTAAAATAGCTGTTCTGCTCCTCAATTATAAGTCAGTTCATTTATCTACGTCACTCTAAATTTTTAGTGCACATGTGGGCTACACTGCCATTTTGGGAATAGCAAGGACGAGGTCAGTTTCCAGTAAGTCAGGAATCATACATATATCATTTGACTAAAAGTGAAATTGCTAACTTGGCATCTATAATTGAGTGAGTTGAGTGGTGTAGAATTGACTCAGCTGTGCCCACCTGGGATCTTGGCGCCGTAACAAGCTAGTTTGCATTATTTACAGTTTTAACTAGTTGCTAAAAACTTATTTCCTTTTTCTCAGATGAGTTGCAGTGGCTTTTTGATCTTCTCAATCAAATTTGCTCTCTTTGTGTTAAAAAGAAGTCAGTCATCAGTACAAAGCAATTGGGGATTACTGATTTCTTTTTGAAACTTAGTTCTACCTATTAAACCAAATGTAGTTTCCGTATCTTGACTGATTCTCTTTTCTGAGAATGGGGAAGAGGACCCATTAAGATGACCTTTGTGGGATCTGATGAGTTTTTGAATGCTGTAAAGGGAATTTTTCCTGGACCACTGATGAGAGTTGGGGCAGTGCACAAAGTATTATTGAATCACCTATGGATGGATATCTATGAGGTGGGGTGCCAGTAGTCCATGTTTTGTCCCAATGCTATTTAAAATTTATCACATTTATAATGAAACAATCAGATGCAATTATTAGGAATTGGGGAGGTGCATGTCAACAGCAGATGACACTCAGCTCTACTTCCCTATCTTATCTAAATCAGAGGAAATTGTGCATGTCACTGTGCATGCCTGGATATACTGATTGGTTGGATGAAGGCCAATGAATACCAATATAGGTAGTCCTTGACTCACGACCATAATTGAGCCCCAAGTTTCTGTTGCTAAGCAAGATTAAGTGAGTTCTGCCCCATTTTACGACCTTTCTTCCCACAGTTGTTAAGTGAATCACTGCAGTTGTTAAGTTAGTAACACAGTTGTTGCGTGAATCTGCCTTCCCCATTGGCTTTGCTTTTTAGAAGGTTGCAAAAGGGGATCACATGACTCTGGGATGTGGCAACCGTCATAAATATAGGTCAGTTACCAAGAGTGACTGATAACCAAAGGTCAGTTGCCCAGCGTCTGAATTTGATTACATGACCATGGGGATGCTGCAACGGTCATAAGTGTGAAAAAATGGTCACAAGTCCCTTTTTTCAGGGCTGTTGTAACTTTGAACAGTCACTAAACGAATTATTATAACTCAAGGGCTACCTGTAAAACAAAGACTTCAGGGCTTTGTTATTCCTGGGTCTGAAAATTGTAAATAGAGCTATACTTTTCAAGAAGTAGATAATCTGAGGGTGCTCCTTTGCCTCAGTATTGTCAGGATTACTAGAAATACTTGCTTTCAAATTGCTTGTGCCCCAAAAGAGAATAGTCAGCATGCAGTCTGTCTAGCTAAAACTGCCCATCTCTTATTTAGACTGTTGCAGTGCATTTTATGTGGATTGTCATTGAGCTTGGTTCAGAAGCTGCAAAAAGGTTACAGACGATGGCTGCCCAACGATGCATATGTTGTCAGAAAGCTGGCTAGATATGGGAACCCGTTGTGAAGAAGCCAATATCCACACAGGATTGGGGAAAGACAAAACTCTTTTATTTCCGTACAGTTTCACATCCAAGGAGCGTGTCAGAAATCAGGCACAGTTAATTTTTATACAATTAACTACAGGAAACAAAAGTAAGAGAATTGGTGGATTACTTACAAAGTTATATGACAGTCACACATGCACACAAAGCAAAGCTATTCCATAATTCTGCAATAATTATTTAATTCTTCAGCACAAAAGATGGAGAATCCACCAATGGGTTAGCTCTGTCTTTGAAGGTCCGAATGGCAGCTGCGGAACTCACGCGGCAGCCAAAATGGCGGCTGGACCATCCGACGTGATAACTGGGGCAAGGAGCTGGACGGAGCCTCATGTATCCTCCCAGGGGAGTTGGGGAGAGATCGGAGCTACAGCGCTGATCCCAGCACTGAAGCAGCTGGAAGGAAAGGATTAGTTGCAGGAGAAGTTGAAGCCTCAGCACTTAGCCCCAGGGCCCTGGGGGGAAAAAACCACTTCCCAAGCCTCCAACAGGCAATCTGAAACAGCGCTAATCCCAGTGCTATTGAGATTACTGTGGAAGTCAAAAAGGGAGTCAGAATCTACCAATGGGATAAACTCTATACCTGCAGCTACTTTGGGAGCCAAACTTGTCACGTCCTTGAGGGCTGGAGACCAAGTCAAGATTGGATGTGTCCTGGCCCAGGATGGGGCGTGGCAACTTTGGCTGATTTGGTCTGCAGGGCAGGAAGACAGAGCTAACCCATTGGTGGATTCTCCATCTCCGTGCTGAGAAAAGGCGTTCAGGTAAGACAACGCCCCTTCTACTTCATTATCATATATTGTAAGTTGATTATTTCCACAACGTACAACCACAGTTTTGCTAAGCAAATTGCTGCTGCTAAGCAAATTTTGTTGGCTTTGCTAGCATTGACTTTGCTTGTCAAAAGGTCGCAAAAGATGACACTGCAACCATCATAAATATGAGCCGATTGCCAAGCTTACGAATTTTGGTCATGTGACCACGAGGGTGCTACAATGGCTGTTACTGAAAAATGATCACAAGTCATTTTTTCCAGTGCCATTGTAACTTTGAACCATCACTAAATGAACTGTTGTAAGTTGAGGATTATATGTATGCATGATGAACTTTGCTTTCCTCCAGACCCTTGTTCGGACACTCCCAACCACTGCTTAAGCCAAATATCATAACACTTTTCTTAGTAGTTCATTTGCAAAGTATCTTACCTAAATGTCAAAGCTGTAGCCTGTTATTCAGTCTATATAGGAGACATTTATGGTCAGCCTATGGTGTGTTTGTGGTTGACTGCTCTGGCTCTTGCCAAAAGATGTCATACTACTTCTAGTAGGAAAAGGCATAACAAATAACTCAGTTAATGCATAGCTCACAAAAGCCTCTAATTACGTATTGAGAAGCTAATAAGTCACAAGAGCCTCAAACTGAAGGGATATCATAGCTATAAGTAAAAACTAGAAAAATTTCAACTCATCCTACACATATGTGATATCTGTGGAAACAACTCCAATTAGTTACAGAGTCAGATTCAAGGTTCTGGTTATGATGCAGAAGGATAACTTGTCATCAGACCTACCTACCAGCTTGCTTTTTTTGTTTGTTTGTTTGTTACAGTCATAGTAAGTTACTAATCAGGGTTCTCTCTATCAAGAATGCCCCCAGTAGCTACTTATAGGTGGATTTTCTCTCTGGCGGTATCTGTATTTTGTTCCCTGAAATTGAGGACCTGCCTGATATATTTCCTTTTAGGTGCCTTTTATATCCTGGCCTTTTCTGTATGAAAAGTAGAAGATTGTTTCCACTTTCCCTGATCTTCTTAAATGCATTTCATTGAGTATGATTTATATTGTTTAACTCTGCTTTATGTATTATTGAATTATATATTTTATTGGTGTTTTACTGTAAGCTATTTTGAGATGTTCTGGCATAGCAAGCAGTATCTAAATATACTAGATGGTGATGATATTGATGATATGATGGAGAGGTGAAATTAGTGGGACTGATCAAGACAGGATTTTCCATTTTCTTTTGCTTTAGAGAGAAGTTGGATTTTGCCTCTCCTCCCTCCCTCTCTCTTTCGTTCTTTTCATTCATTTTTTTGAGGTAATTTTAAATTTAACATTATTTTAATATATTTTTCACATCAACATTATGAGAAATTGCTCTATTGATTTTTTTGGATTTTTGCACTGACAAATTTCAACAAGATTGTTGGAGAAAGCTTCAGGATTCACAAAAATCTTTAGGCTACAGGAAATAGGACTTTGGGTGGCCTTAAGACTTCATAATCCCTTTCTTTGCTTTAGAGCAGGGGTATCAAACTCAATTTCATTGAGGGTCGCATCAGCATTGCGGTTGCCCCTGGGGGGCCGGGTGGATGTGGCCAGGGTGGGTGTGGCCTACTGGGTGGGTGTGGATGGAGTGGGTGTGGCTTACTGGATAGGCGTGGATGGAGTGGGTGTGGCCTACTGGGTAGGCGTGGCCAGCTCTACATTGTTCGCGTCAAGGGTGCCTGTGGGAGCCTGGGCAGGAATGGGACAGATCTGAGGGTCTCTGGCAGAAGGGGGTAGAACCAGGACAAGCGCCAAGGCATGATGTATTTCTTCATTCCTCACAAAAGGTGACACCTCTCCAGCATGCACCCAGGGGGCAGGGCCAACGTGGCAGGGGCAGGTTCCTTGCTGTTTCTGGACAGCCTTGTGGAGCTAAGACTGAATGAATTTCAGCATAGATGGCCACCACAAAATTGTACATTGGTTCCCAGCTGGCCTGGGCCAGGGCCAAGGCAGCAGGGACTGTTCCCTCACTGTTTCCAGGATGGCTTCGCAGGCCACATGAAAACATTTCGCGGGCCGCATCTGGCCCCCGGGCCTTGTGTTTGACATGTCTGCTTTAGAGGAAAGTAACTTTGGTATCCAAATTCAGAAGGGATTACAAAATTGGGTAGACAATATAAACTTTATATTTGTCTTACAAATTAAGATATGGTATCTCTAAAGTTTATTCCAGGAAGATGCGAATGAAGAAAACAAAATATATTCTTATTTAAAGTTCTTATTTGTCAGGATCCCATTCTGTCCCTAGAATCCAGTTTTCAACGGAGTCACTCTCCTGATCTCTCGAGTTTGTGGCACATTCAGAGTCCTTGAGAAAAGAGGGATTGTTCTCTGCATCTGGCAGAAATAAGAATGCCTATTATGGCTTCGACTCACAGCATTTCCTGCACTAAAAATGTGTATTCGTTTTGCAGTGTACTTTGAAGGAAATCAGAAATACCAAGAAAGGTTTTTGCTGCCCTGTTTGCAAATAATATCTGCAGGGTGACAGGCAGAGTCCTTTTTCTGTGGAGTACCCTGTGCATGATAGAGGACTTGGAAGAGTTAATCCAGACATATAAAAAAGCCTGTCCTTCTTTGACTTTTGTGCAACATGGAAGACAGGATGAAAGGATTTCTCTCATCCTGCTGAGACTGGCTAGACAGTGTTTTATTGATATTCTGCCAAATGTACTGTTCAATGCACAGTAACCCTTCACCAAATTGTACAGGTAATCCTTGATTTACAACAGTTTGTTTAGTGACTGTTGGAAGTTACGTCACTGGAAAAAGTCATTCATGACATTTTTCACACTTATGACCACTGCAGCATCCCCATGGTCCCGTGATCAAAATTCAGATGCTTGGCAACTGACTCATATTTAGGATGGTTGCAGTGTCCTGGGGTCATGTTTTGCTAACTTCTGATGAGCAAAGTCAATGGGGAAGCCAGATTCACTTAACAACCATGTTATTAACTTATCATCTGCAGTGATTCACTTAACAGCTGTAGCAAGTGAGGTCGTAAAATGAGGCAAAACAAATGTCTCAATTAGCAACCTAAATTTTGGGCTCAGTTGTGGTCCTAAGTCAAGGGCTTCCTGTATACCAGTGATGGCGAACCTTTTAGAGACCGAGTGCCCAAACTGCAACCCAAAACCCACTTATTTATTGCCAGGGTGGGCGTGGCTGTGGTGGTCATGGCAGACTGGGTGGGGGTGGCCAAGGTGGGTGTGGTCACCTCAATGTTGCTCGTGGGGAGGGATGCTTGCGGGGGCCGGGCAGGGTTGGGGGAGATCCAGGGGGTCTCTGGCAGGTGGGGTGGTGGGTAGGAGGCTCGTCCCGTGGGGTGAGGCGAAGCAGGGCAGGGGCTGGGGCAGTTGCTGCCTGACACCATCGGCCCCCGCACACAGAGGCCAGCGAGCACATGGGGGCCGACAGTGTTCGTCAGCAGCCACAGCCTGCCGGCCCCTCGACCGACGCACTCTGGGGCTCTGCAGCCCGCCACCAGGGAGGGCTCTGAGTGCCGCCTCTGGCACGTGTGCCATAGGTTTGCCACCACTGCTATATAACCTTCTAGTGCTTTTTAAAAAATAAAGGATGCAGACCCTTTCCATACATAAGACCTACCCTGAAGCCAGCCGCATACAAATATAGGCATTTGCACAGAAGCTGGAAGAAGTGGAGTTCTCCATCTTCTCCCTATAAGATCCCTCATTAACTCCCAAATTTTCACCGGTAACTAGAGGACTTTCTTGAATGAAATAAAGTAAGATACAAGGAAGTTTTAGGGATGGCTAACAGTTTTGATCATGAAAGGTACCTCCAATGGGTTTGGGGAAGTTCAACTCCAAACCCCCCCCCCACTACCCTAAAACCCAGGACTTGGATGCAGCAGGACTACTGTATAATGTAAAAGTATGTGGCCATCTAGATAGATAACCCTTCACATCAGGAACTAATTGGTATCTCATGCATATTAGGATCGTATTCCCTCCTTCTCTTCATCTGAGCTTGGAAATAAATGTTTAAAAGCTTCTGCTTCTAATCAGCGGCAAACTATAGGTTCCTATTACATACAGATGCAGCAAACTATGCTTCCCAACCAACAGTTTGTTGCACTTAAAGACAACAGGAAAATATTTATCGCTAATGAGGAACAGAAGCTTCTAATCTTTTCCCCCATTGAGGAAGGAAGGAAGGAAGGAAGGAGTATGCAAGATCAGGGCTATAGTGTTTCGTCCCACTCTTCCAGTCTGTGGTTTGGGTTAAGAACATTTAGCAACCCTATATTTTCCAGTAGGCAAAAGGACGAATATAGATTTAACCTGCACAAATGTTTCTAAATATTTTTAGGATTCTGGAGGCACTGCTGTAGGCTAACCTACAGCTTAGAAGCCTTTGCTTGAATGCGCTTCCTAATTCTGCAGAAATTCAAATCCATGAATTAATTTTTTTAAATTAGCTTTTGAAGTGCGATTTCAGTTTGCAACTTATGATAAAAAATTGATAAACAAAAGAATACATTGTTGATGTAAAAACTGCTGAAAGCTGCATTTGTTTTTCTATATTAACCTTTTGTATTATGCCTTGAAAAATGTGCATGTTCTTATGCATTTTGCTTTTTGTTAAATGTTATGCATCTAAAAAGGTTGTGCTGTTGAAAATTGTGTTTAATGTCTCCTAAGGTTTTAAAGTCTATTTCTGTCTTTTAGGGATAAATATCAGCATGTCTGAGAACTGATCAAGAATCTTGAGAATTTATACATAACACCTGAAGCATAGAAGGCAGAGAGTTCTTTAAAAAATAATTCACTTTGCTGGGTAAATATGGCAGATCCTTCAGCAGAAGTACCGTTTTTTATGATGACACACCCACAAATAATGGAAGTAAGTTGAAAAAGTTCTAAACTTAACTGTGCTCTTTTGTATATAACACGGATGCCTACAAAACTGTCTGACTTTAGATAGCTCAGATTTTATATTATCAGATTCCTTATGGCCAGAATGGCGAATAAAATAGTAAGGAGTAATCGTAATTATGATTGTGCTGATTATGATTATGATTTTTTTAAAAAAATTAAGCAGACATTTTGCTAGATATAGTTGTGACAGCTTTGGATAAGATTCAAATCTTTTCAAAAGCAAACAAAAACAAAACTAGAAAAATTTCCAAGACTGTGTAGAATTTGAAATGTCTTTTATTTTCTTCTCACCTTAACACAGTGTTTCCCAAACTTGACAATTTTAAGGCATGAGGACTTCAATTCCCAGAATTCCACAGCCAGCAACACTGGCTGTAGAATTCTGGGAGTTGAAGTCCACATGCCTTAAAATTGTCAAGTTTGAGAAACACTGCCTTAACACATGGAGTAAGTAGTGTTCAGGATGTAAGCTATATCCAATGGGATGTCGGAATTGTTTTCATACCTATGCCTGGCCTGACCTCGGTGAGGTGTCACCAAAAGGATCATTGTTTGCATTGCCACATCATTCTATTTACATAGTGGTTTTGTACGTAAATATGATCAAGAGAAATCTAGCATAACAAGGAAAACCTCAGGGCAAATCTACACAACCACCTTGTCCTGGAGTGAGAACAGACTACTGTCTTCTTCTCAAGGGCATGTCTGCAGGACTCCGCCTGTATCTCAGTGTCCTCTCACAGCTCAGACAGACCAAAGATGGCTTAAAATGATACATTCTGAAAGTGTTTTTTTCTAATCTATCACCTGAGGAATCTGATGTAGGCAATGAAAAATGTATTGATGTGCTCTGGGGAAGCAATCAGAAGTTTGCTGGCAATGGGGTGACTCTCAGTTCTGCTGGTTTCCTGGGAAACCATCCTCTTCATTCTTTTCCCTGGCTTCTTTCCCTGCCCCATCAAGCCTCTCTCTACAATAAAGTGCAGAGCTGATAAAAATGTATGTGTGGTGCATGTACGATATATCCTGAAACAACCATTTGTAAGTAGTTATCACATTAAATGAATTACATCAACTCTACAATGTGAAGATTCCTTGTGACAAAAACAAATAGAAAAAACAATTCGATTTATCTATTACGGTAGCAGAAAATATGCATTAGAACAGTGGTTCTCAACCTGTGGGTCGGGACCCCATTTGGGGTCGAACGACCATTTCACGGGGGTCACCAAACAACACAGTCTGCCATTTTTTTCCCCTTTTCCTTAGCTGTGCTACTCCCTTTTATTCTATTGGCTTTTGAAAGCCAATAGAATAGACTCTCTTGATTAGAGTCTAATTCTATTGGCTTTCAAAAGCCAATAGGAATTGTCCAGGCTGTCTCTGCCCTGCTGAGCCCGCCAAAAGTCCCATTCTGCAAACAGTGCTGCACCAATTGAGTAGTCCTCTACTTACGACCGGTTGAGTAGTCCTCTACTTACAACCGGTTGGGGGTTGCGGCATTAAAAAAGTTGAGAACCACTGCATTAGAATCAAATGATGTATTTCTTGGTTACTAGATTTTCTAATAAAGATGCATTATTCACATACGGTAATAAAGTTGAATCATCGCATGTGAGAGTTGGAATGTGCCTTAGAAATCATCTAATTCAACTTCTTACTCAGCCTAACTAAAGCGTCCATGACTGGTGGCCTTTGTTTACACACCTGTACAAAGAAGACTCTGTTGCATTGTAACAGATTTTATTGTTAGAAAATTTTCCATCATGTCCATTGAAATCTATTCTGTTGTAATTTAAACCCATTGTTTTTTGTCTTGTCTTCTCAACACTCTGTTGTTTCACTATGTTGTAGTGTTAAAGAGTAAGATTGGTACTGGGGAGACCCAGGTTTTAATACACTCTCAATCAAATTAACTGGGTGGCTATGGGCCAGTCCCCCTTTCTTAGACAAACCTACTTCACAGAGTTGTTATGTGTGTGGGGGGGGGAGGGGAGAATGGTGGAGGGAGTGCAATATACAATACCCTGAGTTCCTAAATGAAAGGGTATTGATCATACAGGTCACACAAATAAATGAACAACACTGACATAATTTTGCCCAGTTCTCTATATGACAACCCTTTAGATACTAGAAGACAACTATCATATCTCTCCATAGTCTTCTCTTCTCCAGAGTTGAAATATACAATATTTCCAGCAGTTCCTTATATGGTTTTCTTTCCAAGCCCCTTCTTGATTGCTTTCCTGTAGACATCCTCTAATTTCTCAGTGTCCTTTCTAAAATGAAGTCAGAAACAGTAATCTATTTTATAACAAATTTGGGGAACTTGAACTTATGGATGAGTTTTTTTTTGCAATAAACATTTGGACATTTAAAGTATTGCATTATTATTTTTGACAAGCAGTTTGGAGTAACAGTTAGAGTAACAGTTAAGGAACCAGGCTAGAAAACAGGAGACTATGAGCGCACAAAGCCATCTGGGTGACTTTGAGGCCAGTGCTTCCAGAAGTCCGTTCTGGGTCTCAGAGGTCCAGGCACAGAACGGACTTCCGGAAGTGGAGTCCACGCAGAGAACCGGTTGTTCACGTATTTGAATCCCACCACTGATTCTTAGCCACATGCTCTCAAGTGGATCCTCAGGCTGAGATTCCTGAATCTTAATGCATCTTTGCACATACTTCACACATAATGCCATCCTTCCTCCCCCTTTTTCTTGTATGTCCCTTTATATAAGTTACACTTTTCAGTTTTGGCATTTCATTGATAAACTTTGTCCCACCAGCTTTCAGTAATACTTACTTAGCCATATTTGCCTTTCTACACTAAGACTTCTAATTCTTCCTGGTTATTCCCAATAAGCTAAGCTTGTGCCAAAGGACTGGACTCCTTGGGGTGTATCATTTGATTTATTCTTGATGTTATTTACAGGTTTGTTGCACTGGTTCCTCCTTAGCCTGCATACTCCTCCCAGTCCCATTCTTAGTACACAGCAATCATGGGTGCTCCAACACAGGACGTTTTTAAGAAGAGATTGGACAACCATTTGTCTTTAATGGTATAGGGCCGGGGTAGGCAATCTTGGCTCTTTTATGACTTGTGGACTTCAACTCCCAGAATTCCTGAGCCAGCCATGCTGGCTCAGGAATTCTGGGAGTTGAAGTCCACAAGTCATAAAAGAGCCAAGGTTGCCTACCTCTGCTATAGGGTTTCCTGCCTGAGTAGAGGGTTAGATTAAGGGACTTTCAAGGTCCCCTCCAACTCTGTTGTTCTGTTCTGTTCTGCTTTTTGTTCTTTACACCACTGAATTTAAAGCCCTCTGGATCCGGTTTGCAAGGTGCTTTCCAGGCTGGTGGAATTCTTCCCAGTTCTGGTGAGGTGTAACTTAGCTTTTGCCAGGAGTCCCTCAGTGTGGAAATATATCCCAGCATCAAATATCCAGACAGTTCCTGTCTACATAGCTGTTGGACTTCCCATGTTCTTCTCTCTTCCTGGGCCATGCCCTTTGTCAGGAAATGATGAAGAAAAGCCATCTGGATCTCTAGCTTCTCTGTCCTATTGCCAAGAATTTCATTGGCCCTTGGAATGTCTTTATGGCTATAGCTGGCTATGTCATTATTCCCACATGAATCAATAAGTCAGACAGAACTTATGATGATCACAAGTGATTTCCTGTTCTTAAAACTTTTATTAGCATGCACAAGAAATGTTTTTGCTTTTTAATCAGCCTTGAAGGTTAATTTTGAAGGTTTGAATTGAAGGTTTCTCTTCGTGCATGATACTTTTTACACTATAAAGTCTAACACTATAAACAAAAACTTCAAACATAAGAACTTCCCATATCAATTGGTGACCTCTATCTCAGGGACAAAAAAGTATTTTATTTTCTCTAGGGCCATAGTTCTAATCCTTAATGTGTTTTCCAGATAAATTTATCAACTATTCTTTGCCAATCTTGCAAAAGTTTTTTCTGGGACTGAAATTAGTACCATTTAATTTTTTTAAAAAAATATCTGGAGTAATCATTTTAATAGTCATAATTATTGCTAATCCAAGACAGTTTTATTTATTTTTTTGCTTTTCAGAATATTTAATTTCTCTCCATAATTTGGTATAATTATTTTCAAATATATATTTGTCAAATATAGTCACAAATGTTTTGTTGAATCTTTTATTTAGTGGCAACCTGACTCTTTCTACACAAAGCTTTCTTTTTCTTGGGATAAGTGTCTTATCTTTGTTTTTACACATTAATATTATATCTTGAGAATTACCTTTTGTTTTAATTAGCTGTTTATTGCATTTCGAAGCTGCATCATGATGAGTTGTGCATTATCCATGTAGCATTTTGATGATATAATGAACTTAGTTCTATAAATATACTAAATTTATTGATGAATTTTACATTTTGTAATGGTGAACCTTTGCTTATTGAATTTTTTTTCTTTATTCACTATTCTTTTTCCCCTCTATTACAGTAGCTATTTATGCTGTTCCTTAAATGATTTAACAAATAACATCATTAAGTATTAAATTATTAAATATTAAAAAGTCAGACAATTGATCTATTTAATCCACTATATTGATGATGACTGATATTCCAGACAGAATTTTTTCCCAACTGTTACAGTATTGGCATTGAACCCAGAAACCGTCTACATAGCACATTTACTTTACCATTGCACTGCATTTCTTGGATGAAAAAATAAGTAAACAAGCAAACTTGTGTAAGATTTATACACATGCCACCAGTGGATTCAGCTGAACACAACTCGAGCAAGCGAGTACGCTATAACATTTCTATAATCCTTAGGAATAAAAGGTTTGAAGTATTCCTTTCAGAATGTGACACTTTGCATTTTAAGCTATATTCATTTGTCTTTTCTTAACTCTCCCTAGAACATATTCTGCTTTTCCCCTTTCTTAAAAACCGATCTTTTTTAATTTGTGTGTGTATGTGTGTGTGTGTATAGTAATTTCAGAATGCATAAATAGTAGGAAAGGTCAGCATTTTCTTCCATGTTTTTAAATGAGTGGTTTGTGGAGGATTTAATCATAGTTTCCAACAGGGACAGTGGCTGTTTGTAATCATAGCTTCCAACGAGATCTGTGACCTTTGCATAAGTTGTATCATTTCCTAATTTTTTTTTTTTTACAGTAATGCACATTCTCTTTGCTCTTGATTGTCCAGTCAGGGTGTTAAAGTGCAGATGTCGTACAGTTGCTGAAGTTGAGAAACACTGCTCTAGACCAAAAATTACACAATAGGAGGAATTATTAGAAAGGTTATTACAAGAAACAGAATTATAATAGTCTCATATTTATGCTCATTTAACAATGAGATACACCTAAATTGTACATTTATGTCAAGGACTGAAATTTTGGGCAGTTAGTGCAAAGTCTGGATGGACATGAAGATGTACTTCAGGAAGCAAAATGGATACCAGAAACTGTGGTATTCATCTTGCCCCAAAACAGACTATAATTCTCTGATTTCTGGAGAGGAATAAGCAAAATATTTCAAGCTTAAAAGTTTAGCACATTACCAGTCTCTAACACACAAATAATAGCTGTTTTTTCTTACTGTGCTTATGATAAAACTTCAACCTATAATAATAATTTTACAGAGTTAAACAAATAGAAAATAACGATTTGCGGAAGAGAAACAATATATGAAACAAGGTGGTAAAAAGTAAATAGTACAAGTGAAAGTTACTTTAAAACAGAAGAAAAGAATTCTGTGTAATATCCATATTGTGGAAGAGTAATGGGAAGAGCAGATGAGATATATAAATTTCACAGTCCCCAAAAGAGGCTGGATGGCAGTGAGGGTCATTGTAGATATTTGCACCAGATTCTCTCACAACCACCACCATCTCCAATATCATTTCTCTTGTAAGTTACATACCTCCATACTGTCTTAACAAACAACAACTCTGAATTTCGTCCTTTCTACCACACATTCACTGCAAATCGAAGTACAGTTTTATTTTTCTGCTGTTGACTTTTTAACAAGAAGAAAGGAAAGAAAAACCAGCTGATTGTTTATCAAGAAAATCAGCGTTTGCAAAGTTAATCTGGATATCCCCTGCCATCAACACTAATTTTGACAAAGATGTTCTTTTCTATATTTTTCAGACTGATCATTCTTTATAAATGCAATTATGAAAAGTTTCAGAGAGAGAGAGATGCCCTCTTTAGGGGTTCTAGTGTGAGAGCACAAAATATGAGTAGATACAAAGAATAAATACATTTACTCTGCCTCTCTTAGGGCCATTCTCAGTACACTTTATATATAGAAGGGATTGTGTGCAAAGGAGACCCTATTCCAATCTGTTAATTTATATAAATTTATGTCCAAAGAGATTCTTTCTGAAATGTATTCAGAGAGAACATTAAAATACTGATTTTTAAAATTATTCCAATTATTCTTGATAGAGCTTCCGTGATTAGAGCTAATTCTCCTCTGCAAAAAAGTTCCCACCGCTGTCACAAGGTTGATAAAAATAGCGAGCGGAAGAATTATCCTGCTTCCTACCTGCAGAACTTTCACGAAAAGAAGACATTGGAAGAGGACTATAGTGAAGATAGTATCACTGTAAAGGTTCATTCCCTGAATATTCTCTTGTTAAGCCCTGTAAGAAATGGAAAATCTACCGGGTTCATACAGCAAGGCAGAAAATTATTTCAGCTCTAAAGAATTTTATCAAATCATTTGTTATTTTTATATGACATAATATGAAAGTGGCAGTAGGTTGCTTTCTCCAGCATCCATGTCCATTAGTTGAAGTATCTTAATAATGAAGAATGAAAAATTCAAATAAGATGACAATAAAGTGACAGTTCTATCTGATAATTTATATAACTTACTTCCACCAATGTGACCATCGCAGAACCAGCTCACTATCATTTTCAAAATGTTTTACAGCCCCAGTTTTAGACTTGAAATGAAATCACAATCTCCTTTGTTTTTAAAACTGCTCCGCATTCTAGAGCAGTCTAGGTAAGTTTAAGACAGGGGTCTTCAAACTTGGCCTTTTTATGACTTGTGGACTTCAGCGTGCCTGGCTGAGGAATTCTGGGAGTTGAAGTCCACAAGTCATGAAAGGGCCAGGTTTGAAGACCCCTGGTTTAAGACATTCACCAATGTTGACTGAGGAATTCTGGGAGCTGTAGTCCACACCTCCTCTTAAACTTGCTAAGGTTGGAAAACATTGCTGTAGAGCAGCTTTTTTCTTCTCTGACACTTCAGTATTTTCTCATTCTAACTTCAGATTCTGCTTTTGTTCTTTTTCCAGTCTGCAGACATGAATGAACCTCAGTGCTACTACAACGAAACTATTGCCTTCTTTTATAACCAAAGTGGGAAAACTCTAGCAACTGAATGGAACACTGTGAGCAAGCTTGTAATGGGACTCGGGATTACAGTTTGTGTTTTTATCATGCTAGCCAACCTTTTGGTGATGGTGGCCATTTACGTCAACCGGCGTTTTCATTTTCCTATTTATTACCTAATGGCTAACTTAGCAGCTGCTGACTTCTTTGCAGGGCTGGCATATTTTTACCTGATGTTTAACACAGGACCCAACACTAGAAGATTGACGGTCAGCACATGGCTACTTCGCCAGGGACTCATTGACACCAGCCTGACTGCTTCAGTGGCCAACTTATTGGCCATTGCCATAGAAAGGCACATCACCGTGTTTCGCATGCAGCTCCATACGAGGATGAGTAATCGGCGAGTGGTGGTGGTGATTGTGGTCATCTGGACGGTGGCCATTGTCATGGGTGCTATACCAAGCGTTGGCTGGAATTGTATCTGTGATCTCACTCACTGTTCTAACATGGCACCTCTCTACAGCGACTCTTACTTGGTCTTCTGGGCTGTTTTCAATTTAGTCACCTTTGTAGTCATGGTGGTCTTGTATGCTCATATCTTTGGATACGTGCGCCAGAGGACTATGAGAATGTCAAGGCATAGTTCAGGGCCTCGCAGGAATCGGGACACCATGATGAGTCTCCTAAAGACTGTTGTCATTGTGCTTGGTAAGTATCTTGAGATGTGATTTTTTTTCCCTCCACCTCAAAATAGATACCGTGTATTTCATGGAAATGCTATGCGTTTTATATTGTCAGGATACAGATTAGTAAGAAGTATCATCCTTGTTATACAGTCTGCTTTAATGATGTGTAAAAATGTTTAGATTCAATACCAGTAAAATAAAGTGGCTTTGGGTAACAGAAGCTCTCCACTTTCAGAAATAGTCCACCTGTGGTTCTGAACGTGGCTGCGTTTCCTTGTGCACAGCTGATTTCTACTCTGGGAATCCTGTAAGACACAAAGCCCCAGTTTGAAATTGTGGAAGTTGAAAATAGTTCTACACATGGTTAGGAAGGGCTTTGCAAAAATCCACCAAGTGCAACCTTTCCTGGACAGCAAAGTTTGCTCAGTGTTACTGATGACCTTCGTGGTAGATTACTACACTGTGTTCCCACTGGAGTTGCTCTTGAAGACTATCCAGAAACTGGAGCCTGCCCTAAAAGCAGTGACTCGGGCAATTGTAGGTGTTAGTCAACTGCCCGTGTCTCACCTCTGCTCTGAGAACTGTACTGGTTGCCAGTTTGTTTCCGGGTACAACTCCAGGTGCCGGTTGTCACTTTGAAAGTCCTTTATGGTTCAGCACTGTTATGGTTTGGGACCTGGATATTTGCAGGACCACCCTCTCCTTATTGTTTCTAACTGTCTTTAAGAATTGGAACAGAAGGCTTCCTCTGGGCCCCAACTTTTAGGAAATCTCATTTGTAGGTCTCCATGAGTTGTTCTTTTCAGCTGCTGTTTTTCCTTCTTTGAAACAGCATTCCCCTGTTAAGGTTGCTCCTCAGGCCTTGGGGTGTTACTTATTATACTGTTATTGTCAATCCGTCAAGGTAGACCAGAGCAGAAAAACGTCTCCACAAGGCTAAAACTGTTTTTATACAGATTGGCTATAATCTTGCAAGTCTGATTGTGTTGTTCCTTCTGCTCCTTATACTTCAGTGAATTAGGGAGGCATATGTCTAAGCTGCTTCTGAAGGTTATTTGGCCATTTTGGACCTAAAAATGCTTCCAGCCGCTTGTTACCTTGTAATGGAGCTTACGTATCTCTACCAAGGTCATCTTTCTTATTAACTACAGTTGTATTGTTTAGTAATGTTTAGTTTTTAATCTTAACTACTGTTTCAGGCAGATTTATTTATTGCGTAAGAACACAGGCCTTGTTAAAAAAAAGAAAGTAAATAATTTAATTCAAATTTCTAATACTACTAGGAGAGCATGCAATGATATCTTTGCCAGTGACATCAGTCCTGTATGTTGCTTAGTATTAGTCATACCTAACATCGCTGTGAGCTTCCCTAACCTTGCCACTGCCTGCCTCCTACGTTGAAGGAGAGTGAACCCCGGTAGAGGAGAATATTGGTAGCTCAGGGTTGAAATGAAGAGTCCTTGGTGGTCTCTGTGGTTGGTTGGTTGTTGTTGTTGTTTTGGCAGACGTTTCATTCATTCATAGCACTGATGATCTTACCTAGTTGGGTAATGAAACGTCTGCAACCAAGCTCAGAGAGCACCAAGGACACCTCAGAGAATGAATGGCTTAAGATCACACAGTTGGCATTTTGTCCAAAGCAAAAGTAGAATTGAATTTCTAGCTTGGTACCTTTAACCACTGCACCAAACTAGATCTTGAGTCTGTCATTATGCTGATAGTAACCATTAGCCTTGAATTCAACTTGTGATCTTTCTTTCCAAATATATAAACATAAATCTACTGTAGCTCTGGGGTATCGTCCACATTTATACAGTCTGTTTTTATGACGTGTAAAAATGTATGTACAATAAATTTTCCTCAACAGATTTACAAATAGGAGTCCATTGGAGTTGGGCAGTTAATAAATTTGAATAAATAAATGAAGGAAGGAAGGAATTTATCTTCTAGTATTGTGGCATTACCATGCAAGAGATTAAGGTGTGATATTTACATAAATAACAGAATACGACCCGAAATGTATTATTCACAGGATAGTAGATCATGGTAGCGGTAGTCCTTGACTTACAAGAACAATTGAGCCCCAAATTTATGTTGTTAAGTGAGACATTTGTTAAGTGAGTTTTGCCCCATTTTAGGGCCTTTCTTGGCACAGTTGTTAAATGAACCACTGCAGTTGATAAGTTAGTAACAAAGTTGTTAAGTGAATCTGGCTTCCCCCATTGATTTTGCTTGTCAGAAGGTTGCAAAAGGTGCTCACGTGATCTTGGGACATAGCAACGGTCATAAGTATGAACCAGTTGCCAAGCTTCTGCATTTTGATCACGTGAGCACATGGATGCTGTAAAGGTCATAAGTGTGAAAAACGGTCGTAAGTCACTTTTTTCAGTGCCACTGTAAGTTTGAACGGTCGCTAAATGAACTGTTGTAAGTCAAGGACCACCTGCATTATGAGATACCTCCGCACCCGATGAGCTTCCCCACTTAGTGCAGCCTCTTTTCGTAACCCTTTTCTAATTACCAACCATAGCAATGCCCAGTTGAATGCTGTACTAACTTTTCCAGATCTACAAGATGCCTGAGAAGAATCTCCACTGGTACCGCTGGAAGTTTACATAAAGTAACGCTGTCACATAGTGGATGGTTTCAAAGGGAGGAAGTTTGTGCTTGAGAAGGCAAAAGTTGATTGTTTTAAACCCTTCCCGTCTTTCAATATGAAAGTATCACCCACTATTTGCTCTAAGTCCGATTAATTAAAAGTCTAATTAAAATATTTATCTGCACCATAAAGAGAAAGGAGTGTATATACCTGGGTAGGCAACCTTGGCTCTTTTGATGACTCATGAACTTCAACTCCCAGAATTCCTGAGCCAGCTCAGGAATTCTGGGAGTTGAAGTCCACGAGTCATAAAAGAGCCAAGGCTGCCTACCCCTGGCATATAACTAAGTAGAATGTGTTTATATCACTTCTATATAGAAAAATTTGTTGGAAAATATATGCCCTGAGGGTTCTGTCCCTGCCCACTGCTGTCATCTAGATCCTGGCAAGCTTATTCAGAATGAATTTGGTTTGCCAAAAATAAGTTCAGCGGCTCCAACATTTAGGAAGTAAATTTGCCCTGTGATTTCTGCAGAGAAACATACAGTGTAATGCTTTTGAAATCATTGCAGCATAATATACGGTATATATTGTCACTTGGTGATAGAATGGCTTTATATAACTGGTTTCAACGTTTTGCCTTAAGAATTGTACAAAAGAGTACAGTGAAACAATTTAACTGCCTTGGTTGTTGATTTAATTTTCTCATATACGTATTTAATTTATATCCCGCCTTTATTATTTTTGCCAGTAACTCAAGGCGGTGAACATATCTTCTCCTACTTTCTCCTAATCCACCTCACAACCCTGTGAGGTGGATTAGGCTGAGAAAGAGTGACTATTCCCAAATTGAAACAGACTTTGTACCACTGCCTGAGTCCAACAATTTTTTTATCATTCATTCAGGAAGAAAATAACTTGGTGATAGACAGAGGAAAGTATTAAATAAAATCAACAGTATTCTTCTGTCTAGATAATAGCAATAGCACCTTGACGTATATACCACTTCATAGTGCTTTACAGCCTTCTCTAAGCAGTTTTCAGAATCAGCATATTGCTCCCAAACAATCTGGGTCCTCATTTTACCAACCTCGGAAGGAGGGAAGGCTGAGTCAACCTTGAGCCAGTGAGGATTGAACTGCTGGCAGTTGGAAGAGTTAGCCTGCAATACTGCATTCTAACCACTGTGCCACCATGGCTCTTAATAAGTAAATATGTGCATTCTACATTCAGACAGTAAAGTTGTTGGAAACTGCTCTGGGATAAGAAAAAGCCCAGAATAGAAAAGGAACCATCAATATTCAAATAATGTACACAAAGAAAGATGAAATTTAATATTCATCTACCATTCTTTATTACTTAATTATCCCTAACTGTTCAAATAGACTTTTGTGTTGTGAATAATGTCATTATAAATTGAATATTTATTATTAAAGCTAAGCGTTTAACCTATCCCAAAGTCCACAGCCTGATCCCTTCCAGATATATTAATTCTGGCACTAGTCAAGGTTGATGAATTAAAATCTTAACACACACTCATACACAGGATTCTACTAGGAAGGCAAAGATTACAATCCTGCAAGTTTGGGGAATCATTATTTTATAATGTTGTAATGGGGAAAAAGAGGCAAGCTTTTCAAGGTCTGGGATGAGGAGCTAAATAATAAGGCTGTATAAAATGGCTTTGGACTTTGGACTTGCTTGCAGTTTGGAACAACTGTCTCCTGATTGTCTCTGCAGGTATGTGGATGCACAATTGTTTTGCCTCTTGGGGGGAAACGTGAATCAGCTATACATTCAGAAGCAGCCACGTGAACTTGAAAATTGCAGCTTCTTCAATAATACCAAAAGAGATGCTTCGTATATGTTCCTTTGCTTTGAAGCACCTCTTTGCATAGTCCTAATGAATATTAATAACAAAGAGGACAGAGTGCTTCTGAAGGAAGAAAATATTGAGCACATTTATTAGAATATAAGCACTTCAGGCAGCTAAATAAATCTGTTTAATGTATTGCATAACAAAGCAGTGACTGTTCAAACAAAATCTGTTCCGCTGAATTGTTTTTAGAGGTCTCAATTACTTAGTTACAAATAACTGAGGTTGATTCGAATCAGGTTAACACATGTAATCATAGTAATGCTACCATAAGGAACTCCAGATCTGTAGTTTTTGTTTCTTGTCAAGTTCACCTATTTGAATCGTGCTATCTATATTTATTTTGCTTCAATAATTTTAATAGATTTATTTTTGGAATCAATTACTAGGTCCACTATTTTAAGAGACTGGGACTACAGTACTTTTTATTTAGACTTTTCCAATAAAGATCAAATGAAAGTTAGAGTCAGGGTTCTCCTAAATTAAAGCATTTGATGTGTTTGAACAAATAGAAGTTTAACCTGTTGATTACTCTTTATATTTAAGA